ACACCCACAACCCCACACACCCCCACCCACACACACACCCACAAACCCCTGCCACACACACACCACCAACATTGTTGTAATTTTAAAAAGCAGCAGGAGGAGAGGGGGAGGAAAGGGGGAGGGGGAGACTGGCCTCCAGAGACAGGAGCAGCAGAAGAGAAAAGAGGTAGAGGGGAGGGGGAGAGAAAAGGAAAGAAAGAGAGACAGGCAGAGAAGCAAAGAGAGAGAGAAAGACAAAAAGAAATATGGGGAGGTGGGCGGGGCCCTATTAAAAGGGAACACAGTGAATGTGCACAGGTGGTGCTCTCAGTGGCTGCAGCTGAGGGCGTGTCCTGTCAGGCCCCCAAGGACAGGGCGGTACAGAGGCCTGAATACTAACCACCAACAACAACAACAAAAGAAGCAACAACAACAGTCTTGTCCAACTCTGCCACTCTGCCAATAAGGGCAGAACCAGTTAGGATTTGAACTTGGATCCACCCGGCTTCTCTGTTTTGTTTTCTGTGTATTTTTCCAGTACCGGCACCTATGCTTTAATAATACATTTACTCATATATATTACATATTTCATTCTTTGAAAAATACTATGATTCTGGAGGATCGATCTCCAGTAAGAAATGGCTTTGTATTAAAGTCCAGCCTATGTTCTCAGGTAAAGAGAACAAGAAAGCGCCCACAAAACTACAGCATGCTTTCTCCTCTGCTATTGCTCTTCCGCTAAAAGAATTAATAAATAACATGTTGGGATTAGTTTTACAGCCCACAGGCAGACTGAGATCCCAAGTTTAAAGAACTGTTCTTTAATGACATCCGAGTTCCTGTCTGTTTGGGCTCGGTCAAACAGCCTTGTTTATAAATTCAGGAAGGAGACAGCCTCATCAGAAAATGATAATCCAAGCCGGGTGTCGTGACTCACATTTGTAACCCTAGCACTAAAGTGCCCGGCGCCGGGGATGACAAGTTCAAGGGCAGCCTGGACTGCTTGGAACAGCTGTGTCTCGCTCAAAAACCAGCGAATAGGAATAGTCTCGTGGGGGTGTGGTTTATGGACAGACTGCTTGTCTAGCGGGGAAAAGGTCCTGAGTTTGACACCCCAGAAGTGAGAAGAAATAGCACAATCCAATATTTAAAACTAAAATGCCTTTAGGAGACAAATGTAGCATAGAAATTTACAAGATCTTTGAGGCTCCAGACTGGTAAAATCTCTAGCTACCCGTGTGTAGCTGGAATCCCAGTCCCTGTGGAGGATGGGAGAATTGGCTGAGGCCAGCAGTTAGGGCACAGCCTGGACAACACAGAAGATTTTATCTCAAAACAAAAATCAAAACCCAAATGAGCAATAGCATCAGACTATCATTAAAAGGATACAATAAAACGGTGTGGGTTTTGTTTGTTTGTTTGTTTGGGGATGTTATGAAGCCCAAGCTGGCCTCAACCTTTGTTCTTTCTGCCTTCACCTCCCAAGTGCTGGGATTACAGACGCGCTCATGTTGACTCATGGCTGGAGTTTCCTCTTTCTTTCTTTCTTTCTTTCTTTCTTTCTTTCTTTCTTTCTTTCTTTCTTTTTTTTTTTTTTTGACACAGAATCTTATGTAGCCCAGGATAGCCTAGAACATTTGTGTGTGTGTGTGTGTGATTTAGTGTGGAGGATGACCGTGAATTCCCCCCTCACCTAATGCTATGATTTCAGGCACCACCTACCATCACACCTGTTTTGTTTTATTTTTTAATGTGGTGCTGGAGACTCAAACCTAGGGCTTCATTCACACCAAGCAAGTACTCTACCAACTGAGCCACACCCCACCCAGCTCAGCGGCTTGATTACATATCCTAGGGTTGGTCAAAGATGATTGCTCTGGGCTATGATTCAGACATGCTCTCAGAGACCTCACCAGCTCCTGATGTCATCCCTGAAAATGGGTCCTGATGTGGCCTTTGTATGAGAGACTAGGCAAGAAGCAGGACATCTCTTGCCACCATAGAGCTAGAAGGTCCATATCAACCCAACCCAGCCTAATCATACCAAGACTTGAAGGACTGACACAATGGTGGAGGTATGTTACTCAATATGGTGTTGGAAAAGAAGGTGAGACTGTACTGGTTGGTCAACTGGTCTTAGTCCCTACAGCAACAACTCAACCACGTTGTCACTGCAGACTGGCCTTGCCCCGCCCCCCATGCCCCTTAGCTCTGTGCTGATTCTCTGACCCTCTCTTTAATTCTGCACAATGCAACATTCTTGAAGTACATTATAGGAAGCAAGTTATCAAGAGTCCGTTGCTGTTGCAGATATCCGGACAGACGCCTTCAGTTCTCCGTCAAAACCCAAAGGACCTATTTCCTCCGTGGCTGCTGGCAGGCTGTCAGACCGCACGAGGATTACCTCCGTGGAAAAGAATTCGATCCCCTAAGGACAAGCCCGGCTACTGGAGAAGTCTGAATCCGGACGCTGGCTGCTGTAAGACATCAGACACGATACTTACTTAGTTCATCCGAGTTTCAGATAGACGATGATACAAGTGTGCGGTAAAGCCGGGGTCACCTGCTAAAAGTTACTCACTGTTTAAATAAAGCTCAGGTCTGATTGGACAGTCTAGGCTTTTATTTGCTAATTCTGGAACCACTAAACTCAAGGCAACTCTGATACTGTCAGCCCCAGAGCCTTCTATGGTTCAGCGGAGGCTCAGGCCAGAGCATCCATCGCCCAGTATCTCTTCCCCTCTGATACTCCCTCCAGCTTCCCCCTCTCTCTCCCCTCCCCTTCACTGTCTCATCTTTCTTTCTTCTGTTCGGTTTTTGAGATAAGTTGCCAGTATGTAGCCTAGGCAAGTCTGGAACCTACTGTGTAGCCCAGCCTGAGGTCAAACTTGTGTCAGTTTTTTTTCCTCAGCCCCTCCCAGTCCTGGGATCACAGGCGTGCACAGTGCACCTCCATGATCAGTTTCTTTCTTTCTTTCTTCTTCTTCTTCTTCTTCTTCTTCTTCTTCTCTTCCTCCTCCTCCTCCTCCTTCTTCTCCTTCTTTGTGTCATCCTCCTTGTTTCTCTTTTGATATAAAATCTCACTATGTCTCTCTAGCTGGACTGAAACTCACTGTGTAGACTAGGATGGCCTCACACACAAAGAGCTCTGCCTCCCGAGTGCTGGGATTAAAGGCATGCACCACCAATGCCCGGCGCCCAAATATTTTTTTTAAGAATTGCTTATTTTAAGCTGGTGCACGCCTTTAATCTCAGCACTTGGGAGGCAGAGGCAGGTGGATCTCTGTGAGTTCGAGGCTTTCTTTTGTAAGTTGTCTTGGTTCTGGTGTCTTAGCACAGCAACAGAAAAGCAACTATGACTCAAGTCTGGGTATTTATTCCTCGGGGGTAAAAACAAAGTCAGTCTTGGGGCTAAAGAAAGGCTTATTTCAGTAGCCAAAGAATGGGGAGGGCAGAGCTTTGCTCATGAATCAGCTTCTCAGCCCCAAATAGATTAGGGTGATTAGATGCAGCACAGGAATATGGGGTCTGGGGAAGGCTGACACCTTGGAGGAATGCTCTCGTCCTTTCTGGGGTCAGTGAAGATCTTCCAGGGTTGTGTGGTCTTTCAACCCTCTCAGCATTAGACACTCCATGTGCCTTGGCTAGTGATGGCTTTTTAAAAATATTTTTTTTTATCTGTTGACTGTTTTGTCTGCATGCATGTCTGTGTGTCTGGTGGGACATCAGGTCCCCCGAGACTGCGGTTACAGACAACTGTGAACCTCAGGCCTCTGGAGGAACGGACAGTGCTCTCAATTGCTGAGCCATCTCCCCAGTCCCAGCCGAGGGTATCTTTAGCGTTGGTGGAGGAGGAGTGAGGCTAGGCAGGTTTTTTTTAAACTAACCCTGCGCTGTAGTTCCGACAGAACACTTTCTGGCACGTAAAACATGCCAACACGCAGAGCCGCGTCGGAGCTGCCCCACCAGTTAAGGCAACAAAGGAGACAGGGGTGACATGCAGCAGAGACGCCAAGCAGTTTCATCCCTTTGCCCGAGCCCACTGGCAGTCTGACAACCAGCAAGAGATGTCTCTGAGCGCATATAAAATAACCCGAGCAGCTGTCATCATGACCCATGTGACCCACAATGGAGGCGCTACCTGCTGCAATGTCAGTAGACAGTCACCACAGAGTGCAGCTGAGCCTGTGACCTCCAAAGTTAGCAATGTGTAAGTCAGCTAGGAGCTAGTGGAGCGAGAGGGATTAGTTAGGGTCTCGCTTAAAGGAGACAGCCAGGCACGGTGGCAAATGCCTTTTATCCCAGCATATCTCTGAGTTTGAGGCTAGCCTGGTCTACAGAGCAAGTTCCAGGACAGCCAGGACTACACAGAGAACCCCTGTCTCAACTTCCCTCCCCCCAAAAAAAAGAAACCCAAGAGAGAGGAGTTTTCCTCTTAAAGTCTGGGGAGACAATTTATTGACACTTATTCATTTACTATAAAGGCTGTAACTCAAGGACTGCCCCCCCCCCCCCAGAAGAGATGCACAGGCCAAAGCCAGGGCAAAGGGGGAGTGCAGATCTGATGAGAATCTGGGAGCTCACCACATGTGATAATCCAAGAGGCTTCTTTTCTAGTTGTGTGTTGGAGACTGATACCTACCAGACCTTGTACATCCTAGACCCGGGCTGTGTTGCTGAGCTGTGTACCAGCATCCTGTTGCGGGATTGAACATTTAATTATGTAAAGATGTGTTGCTGGAGCCGGGTGTTGGTGGCCCACACCTTTAATCCCAGCACTCGGGAGGCAGAGACAGGCGGATCTCTGTGAGTTCGAGACAAGCCTGGTCTGCAAGAGCGAGTTCCAGGACAGGCTCCAGAGCCACAGAGAAACCCTGTCTCGAAAAACAAACAAACAACCAACCAAACAAACAAACAAACAAAAGAAACAAGAGTGAATGATTATTTATTATTTTTAGCTTTGCTACCTGTGGTCATTGCAAT